GTTGTGGAAAAGGACAGTTGGAGAAGAAAATGATAAATTGCCCCAAAAAGTATAGAGAGAGAGAGGCCCCCTTTGTGATGTCTTCTCACAAACCACCTTAAATAAAAAGTACTTCCGAATTTCAAACAAGTTGGAATTTTTTTTCTAAGTAGTTGCTTTATCTCTCACTTTCTATCAGCACATGATGTGCCTAAATCAAATTTAGACAATGACCAAATAAAAAATAAATAAATAAAATAATAATAATAATAATAATAATAATAATAAATAAAATAAAATGAAAAATTAATTAGTAGTGTTTTTACTATTCTTTTTTAATACTAATAAAAGTACTCTTCGTTTTCTACATTATTTTTTAAACGATAATCTGTACCGATTCAAAAAATAGCTATTTCAATACGGATTCAAGCAAAACAGTGTAAAATACTGTTTTATCCCTCTGAGATAAATCAGTCTAAAAATATTCACATTAAAATGATGATAAAAGGGACTTTAACTTGCAAAGATTGGTTTAATCCCCTTAAAGGTCAGGATTGACTTATCCCAATTCATGGGATAAAGGTCATTTTCATCCCGGGGCGAGCACTCCATCTCAGGCCTGAATCCTATGAAACAAACATGGAATAGGAGAAAGATATGCTAGGATATCCTGGCTAATCCCTGTGCATTTTATGTCATATCAACTTTATTCGTTACATTTTAAATATTATTTAATTTTAAATCCACTTTTGTTATTCGAAATAACAGACGTTAACTCACCAAATTAGATCACAATTCACACCGGTTTAGTCCATATCCGATCGCCCCCTTAGTACCTGACATCCATGTATAAACATTAAGGACGGCCTAAATGTTACCTAGTCGTCATTTTTCAATAAATGTTTATACTATTAAATCATAACTTACTCTAATTAGATATTAGATAATATAAATAAAAGTATGATATTCATAAAATAAATATGTATTTTAATGAAATAAAAAATAAAATGAATCCATCCACTATAAAAAAATGATGAAATTCCAATGAAAAATCTTAATAGAGAAATATCTGATGGAATTCCAACGGATATTCCAATGGTATTATTTCAGTTGGAAATTTTCAATGAATTCCAACGGAAATCCAAACAAAAATATTCTGTTGGAATGAATTTTCCATTAAAATTTCCGTTGGATTTTGATGATTCAAACTGTAGTTTTTCCAATATGGGCAGAAATAAAAATTGAAACAAAAATTTCTTCGGTAAAAAATTGTTAAAAAAATAGTCGTTGGAATCATCAATTCCATTTAAAATTTCAATAAAAAACTCATTTCAACAGAATATTTTCATTGAAATTTCCATTGGAATTATTCCAGCAAAAGCTATACCATTAGAATATCCGTTGAAATTTCTATTGTAATATACTAACATAAAAT